GTGTCAGTAAGTCTTTTTATTTTAATTACAACTGCTGGAAATAATTTTTTTCAAGCCATACAATTTTAATATATAGAAAGGAGCCTAGTTACTTTATGTTTCAACAAGACAGTTTCACCAGATCTTACAATCCAAAGTCTCTACTGAAATCAGAGCCCTTTTTGCCTGAATGAGAACAGGGTCAAGGTGACGAAATAAAATGTGAAAGTTAAACATAAAAATTAAATATTCAGTTTGAAAAGCAACTCAGTCACACAATACATGAGACTGATTAGGATTGAAGACCTGCTTACAGCAACCCCATTTAACACAAAGAATAATTTTTTTTTAGCTAACTGAACACAGTTACGGCATAAATGGAAATAAGTAACTGTTTTGGAGTGTGAAATCAGAGATCAGTGCTTCAGTAAGTAGATAATATTAATTTAAAATTAGAAAGAAGTATTTCATACTGCTTTTTTAACTCGATAGAGATTATATAATCTTATACATGTTTATAGTATTTTACCTCAGGATGCTCTAACACAGTTCACTTTCTCTGCAATGCATTTACCACAAAATTAAAAAAAAAAAAAAATTAGATGGCAAACCGTTTGACTTTGAACTTACAATATTTGGAGTGATTTCTGTAAATGGTGGCAGGCAATTCTCTAGGAACTTTTTAAATAAGTTTTGACATTTAATTTAAATAAAAACAATTTGAATGTTATTTTAATTGCATTATCATTACTGCTTTTGTATAGAAGTTTATCATTTCATTGAATGATCTAACCGAATGCTTTATCAATGTAAACTGAAATATTTGGGGCATGCTGTAGGTAAAGGTGAATGTTTTTACAGCACACACTCTCCTAAAACAGACTATTTATCATTCTTTGAAAAAAGGGGACATGAAAAAACAATACTATGTGTGTGGCCTACATTACCTTCACTTAATGCACTAAATACAGGTTTTTTTAGAAAATCGTGCAGTTTCTGCACCATTGATAATCTGACAGTAAGTATTTATTGAAGGTAAAACACTCATTGTCTGTTGACACTATTTGTTTTAATATATAATCTTGCTAACCAAATGATCTTTAAGCAATGCAGATAAGCAATGGCATGCAAAGGGTCACTTAAATGCCAATTTGACTGTTTCATAAACTTAAGCATTCTTTTCCCATGACTATTCTCAGCTACTTAATTGAAAGTATTATCCATTTACAAACTTTAGTCCTGCCATAAAAAGGCTCTCTTCTGTATCCAATAGACCTTTCAGGACCCTAAAAACAACAAAAGCTAATAATTAAAGCTTCTTTTTTTCCCCCCTTTTCTCAATAGAGAAGTGAAGAAGCAACCTATGGTACATCTAAACAAAGCTATCTATAAAGATCTTATTAGTAGTAAAGATCATAAAACTGAAGAGTCTCACTTGACATGGGATGGACAGGATCAGTTAAATTAGGACACCGTCTGTACTGCTTTTGTAATCTGCACTTCTACTACAGAATGACAGATACCACCTAAGACAAGAGCAAGGTAATAAGCAGTTGTCCTTAAATTACAGCTCTCCATGTAAAATCTCCTGAATTTCAGACAAGCACTGACTGTAATACAAATTCAAGTTAATGAATTTTTAATACATCTTCTCTATTTAAAGATGATGACTTAGAGCTGGCATTGCTTAGATTAAATTTGTGGTATTTTCCATTGTTTGTTTTTAATTATTTTGATTAGATTATGGTTGGAATTGTATGGACAAATTCAACCCCCACATAAGCAACTTCAGTTTCTGCTGCAGTCGAGAAGTTTCATCTGTATACAGCAGGACTGAATAGGCCCTCTGGATTTTAAAAACCATAAATCAGAACTATTTCAATGAGATAAATAGCAAATTAAAACTAGATATACCAAACTGAACTTGATAATTTAGATCAGAAATTGCAAGTGTTCAGATTCAAATCTGGGGGGATGGCATTATTTCTTCTCCAAACTTATCTATCATACTATGCACTAATAACAATATATTTTCAGTATTTTTCTTATAATAATGAAATAAGATTTAAAAATTACTCGACATTTGAAGCCTGAGGAGGCAAAGATCGTTGCAAGTCGTGTTCCTCTTGTAGCTCTTTCTGAACTTCATCGGGTTTAATTTTTGATATTGCTTTTCCTTCCACCTGTAGCACATCCAAGGATGGAGCCTAAAATGTTCATGAACAGAAAATAAACAGTGTTACAAACTGATAAGTTATATGGATATTTTCACCCACTCTGGAGTAGAACAAGGAGCAATGGCACACAAGCAACTCTGACCATCAGAAAACACAATTCAATTAAACTAGAGTAGTTTAGAACTGCTGTCACTACGCAGATCATAGCAGCACCTACAGCTATTCAAGACATAGAATAAGCAGAAAAGTGTGATAAAACAAAATTTCCAATGTGCCCTACACAAATTGCACTTCTGAATAGTGTATAAGATGAGTGTACTTCAATATATTACAAAGAGAATAATCAAAAGAGCATCAAAATCATATTACTATTCAGAACTATTAAACTTAGAAGAGCATGAACATATCTAAAATTTGTATTATATTTTTAAGGAAATTCAAACAGATAGACATAGTTTAAAGGATGATGTTTTTAGAAAAGTTTCTTCAAGGTTATGTTTATTAAATACAGGAACTTCAGAAGGAATTCATGTGTAAGGGATTCCTACCGTTTCCACCCACAGCTGCTCATTCCTATTTATTAGAGCACCACCTGCTTAGTTGTGCCAAAAATCATTTTTTCACACTGTGAAATAGATCAGATAACTGATCCCTGTTGGAAAAAAATAGTAAAAAAAAAAGAAGTGCGGAGGGAAGGCAGAAATTAATCTAGATCTCTGATTCCCTTTGTAGATTGTCCCCTCATAGAAATTTTGTCGTGGGCAGCTCACTGTAATCCAGGATCAAGAGCAAATGGCAAGGAAAAGGAACTACTGAAGTCATCACTGCTGCCAAAGTGTCTGCATCTGTTTCCATAAAACTCAGCTTCAGAATCTATACTCTTGTGCTGCTTTTTCCATATTGTGATGGCCTCCAGAGGTCCCTTCCAACCTCAACCATTCCACACTCCTGTTTTCTGCAAACCGTTAAACATCTTCCTAAACCAGACTAGCAGTGCCATCAATAAAAAGGATTCTTCTCAACTCTACTTAAAAGCTTGCACACATAACACAACAAAGCAGGTTCATGAAAAAAAAGAAGTATAATCGTAGCATAACAAAGACAGACAGAAACAGAACACAGTGGGGAAAACTAATTTTAAAGTGCTTTGTCTGGAAAAAATTTTCTCTCTCAATATGAAAAGTAAGTCCACTTTTTTGCCCAGCTCTTCCTGATACACCATGGTAATTACTTCTGTAAGGCTGGCTGGCTTAGTTTACAGGAACCCAAAGAATACAACTGTTGCAACCAAATTACTTTCGAATTAAGATTTTCAGTCACATATCTGGTTAAATGAATCACAAAAGCATAAGATTTTACTCCTCTTTGTCCATTCACATGCTTTATTTATCTCAGAATATGACCGGGCACCATGTCTATGTCTACTGATAACTTTAGCAGTATTTAAGTTCTTAGAAGAAATCACTGCATGAAAAAATTATGGACATTTATAGTTCATAAACAAGTACATTAATCACCAAGTAAAAGACACTGAGAACTGTAGAAGATACCTAAATAAGTCACTACCTTCTGAAAAGGCTTATTAAAAATTAAAATGGTTTCATATACTGTTCTTTTATTTTTGAAACCAACACCACAGTTTATATCAGCACGTACATAAAAAAAATATGAAGGACCAAAGTCAGATATTTGATGTTTACCAGAGAAACTGGAAGTCAATCAAAATTTTACACAGAGAAAATAGGCTAACAAAAATAAGGAATACATAAAAGTTTGAAAGTAATATGTTTACCTGAAAATGTATCATTAAAATGAGCCAAATATAAGACTATGATTTTTGCTTTTGAATGTCAGGTAAATGTTTATGTCATGATCTCTTGTCCAATTTAAAGAAAAAAAGTAATCTGATTGGATGCATTGCCATTACCAGCTTCTGGAATGCCCAGATACTCAAATAATTTGGGGGGAAAAAAAAAAGCCATGTAAGTGATATCCAAAGTAACAGATGATATTCAACAATACTTGTCAATGTCTTAGACACCAATATGGCTAATGAAAATCTCCAAAACTAAAATTACAGCAACTACTATTTTAAAATCATAAGCAAAAGTTCTGTGATCTCATCTTTTTTGTGAAACAGATCATGAAGGGGGACTTCAACACACTCTTGCTAATGAATTATGGAGACTATACTAAGTAGAGGGGAGTTCCGTTAAACCTAAAATCACAGGACATGAGCCAATACACTTACTATTAGATGGACATTTTAGATGTATCTAATCTCATAATTTATTTCATTTTCTTTGTAGAAATACCAGTGAACTAACACACAACTTTTTAATCAAAATATTTGTTATTCAGTTACAGATGTAACATAAAATTACAATAACTAAAGCAAATATCTGCATTTTTTCATCTGACTGCTTTGTGTATAACCAAATTTGCAAGTTCATCTGCACAATCAATCAATTTATCTTGAAATTGCATGGGCCCTAAAGCCCACTAAGCAAAGCAAAATTATTGCAAAAATAAGATGTCACAAAAACACACCAATTAATAGTGTTCTTTAGCAATACTAATATACAGTACATTGCCATTACTCTGTATAGAAATAGTTCTGCTAAGGATGCGATAGAGCATTTAGGTAATATATATGGGTTCTTAAAACCATTTCTCTTTCTAAAATTTTGTCTCCATTATTTTTTGCATGTGTAAAAATGAAAGCATGCACTTTGAAATTAAATAATATATTTAAATTACATAGTACTTGTGTTAAATAGAACCAAATGTATGCTATCTTTTCAGGTGCCAATCTTGCAAACTACTTTGTGTTGTAAGATCACTGAACACACACCGATAGGTGTTGTTGCAACAATACCACCAGTGCATTACAGAAGTGGCATGCTGCCCAAAACAATACTGTCTAAAAAACATCATCACAGTACCACAGTACTGTTTAAATAACTGGGAAACTGTTCTGTTGGCAAATACTATATAATTTAGAAGTAATAAATAATCTTACTATATTCTTGAATATTATAAAAATTACTATCAGTGACATTGTACTGTGCATTGTTTACACATAATTTAGCATATTTAGTTTAGTAACAAACAGAGCAACTGATGTTGCAGAGTATATTCATAAATCTACCTGCTAACATCATTATTAATGTTCATTATATAAAACATTACAGACAAGTACAGATGGCACATGAGATTTCCATTACTGAAGGATTAGAAACATTTCTGACCTACAGACAGACAAATATTGTACAGAAAATTTCAAAACACAATATTTTTTCTAATTTAGCAGAATTTTTAAGAAGTAATATAATTTCATTTTCATCCATTTTCTTCAACAGAAGAACTCTAACCCATCTAACAGAAATAATTTTGCTACCACAAAAGTTGCTAGGAAATATGAATCCTTAGCTGTAGAAGAATGCCTGCCAACCGGAACTGCTCAGGCCAGCATCACCAGGTCACTTAGGGCTCTACTTCATCTCCACTGTAGCCCCATTGCAGAATGCAGTGCCAGGACTGATGGAGAGTTTCTGTCGTCTGCCTGTGACTCACTCCCAGAGCTCCCCTGTCCCTTAGCTCTTCAGGGTAAGCTCTGTGTATCTTTGGTTCTTGGCTATCCTAAAACTGATCAGGAAAGTTGGTTGCAGCTTGAAGAGACACAATCAGGGCCAAACTACAGTCAGTGGGAGGAGCTGAAGAAGCAGCTGAAGCAAGGCCCTTAAGCATTCAGAAGGCTTCTCATTTTGACTAGACCTCTGCCTTATGATGACTAGACCTTGAAGCAACATACTTGCAAATACTGGGCCATCAACAAGCATCCCATGTGTGTCTCTCATTCTCTTTTCATTTTTGTCCCTTTACTTCCTTCTTTTCATCACCTGTATCAGTCTTCCCATGTAGCTTATCCAACCTTGTGTTCATCTCACTTATTTAAGTTTAGGCCAAGGCTACCTGGTATTTCTGCACATAACACTGCCTAGTGGAAATAAATTGCATTCTTGGTTGTCCTTCTCATTATACCATTGTAAACATAATAGTGTTATTATGTTTTACAATAAGCATATATAATAACTTTAAGGCAAAGTAAACATTTACATCAAAGCTGCAGAAGGAATCAGGTTAGAGTTTTATTTTAGTATCTGGTTATAGCCTTGAAATACCAGAATGCTAGAAACTGACAATATATGGGAAAAGACATTATTTGGTCTTCGCAACAAATTTGTCCTCTGTGGTACTGCCTCTATAAACTTGATATGTGTTCTCTACTAAAAATTTAAGCCTTATAGAGTCATGATGACTAATGACAGTTTTTGTCATGTGTGAAATATCGCAGAACCAAAAGGATATTGAGCATTATGCCATTTTCCAGGAAGGCACCCACTTGTTAAATGTAGATTAGGATTCTATTTATACATTGTTTCATTTGTAATCTTCTTTCCAATCTCATAAAGGGAAGCCTAACCCAACATCTGACCGAATGAACCTTAATTTGTTTTTTCCTCTAACCTTAAGCTGCAAGACCAGTATGAAGACTTGTTTTATAGAAAATCTTCTTTTAAAGGGCAGGTGGTAAGGAAACAGCCTGCAGACCTCAGTATGCTCTAAAGCATCAAAACCTTAAGCATTGGGAAACTAATACTATCTCACAATAGTACTAAACCTGCTTACCTGCTTCACCTGCTTATTATATGTTAACAGCTCATCTTTAGGCTGAGATTCATTTTGCTTTGCTTGAGATTCTTTCTGAATTATTGGTGACTTCTGAGGTGGGGGAAAAAAAGAAATCAATGTAACAGGTGAATATACAATATTTTTTTAAAACACTTTTGTGCTCCCTGACAGGTAATGCAGTACAATATTTATTATATGCAATTATTCTTTCATCATCCATGCATTTTATGAAGCACCTATAACATTGTATCAATTTTATCTTAAGCCAAATATTTCCTCAACAGCTAACTAGATTTCCAAAAATAAATATAGTAATAGGCAAAGGACATACAATGATTAACACTAAATAATAATATTTATAGAGATTTCTTATCAAAGATCTGGTCTGTTTCTTCTACAAATTGCAATTGTAAGTAGAAATTGCAAAATGCAAGAAGAAACATACATCAGAAATTTATATCAAGAGATCTATGATCCTGTAAAGCAAATAAATCATTAGTGCCTCTAAACATTAAGCAATCCCCCAAACCTATCTAAGTTTAAATATTTAAATTTTAAAAAGAGTTTGAATGAAAGGCATAAAATGATAGGCACTAATATATATGAATACAGAATTTTACGATTCCATTGCCCTAATCAGCACGCTACTTAATAAAAGGTAAATTCTTTATATCCAGCCATTGGAGAATCAAACCCCATAAGAATGAACAAGAGACACAAAAGGGAAAGAGAGAAGAATAAAGGTATACTTGTGATTTATGAAGTACCAAAATGTTTTCAAGGACTATTTTATTTCCTTCCCAGTTTTATCACTTTAAAATATGAACTACCTATCTTAACAACTCTGCAAGCAAATAGAAGCGCTATTAACTTATTATATTTTAACATTCCTAGATAATGCAGAATGTTACCAGGCTTGCTTCGTGAAAACTTGGCAGGACTTGAGATTCAGTTTTTATTTCCTCATGTTCAATTGGTGCCTGTTGCATAAGCAAGAGAAGAAAACTAGTGTCAAACAAGAATGCTAAAAAAAAAAAAAAAATCCATTATTCATACTCCCTTACAGAACAAAACAACATCAAAACAATATATATGTATAAATTAAAGTTTGGGTCTTCATTACACAAATTAGTTTGAAAGCAACAAATACATTCAGAGACAAATAATCTTAGGCTCATCTTTTGCAAACATTTACACACATGCTTAACCCTTCACTATAAATAACTTCTCCATGGAACTGCTTATAGTAGACAAGTTTAAAAGCTGAGTGCAATTTTCAGTTAATCATTTTCTCCACAAGAGAAAATTATAATTGCTCCACTAGCAGAAAAGCTACTACAAAATTTGAAGTTGTTCGTAGCTCCTAGACATACTATTCTTTCTCATCAAAGGAACGGTTCAACAAGTCCCTTTTTGGTTACAGTATATCCATATGAAAAAGTAGAAATAAAACACAGCAACAACAGATGGTAGTTTTAAGGACAGTGTGCTTTCTAAGCACCTGGTTAGCACACATGTACTTTACCCTTTGTGCCATATACTGGCTTGAGGAACCAAGTTTTAAAGACAACAGTAACAAAGAGTATCACATCTAAACTATATTTCATTTTAGAATACAGTTCTTTAAAACTGCTATAGGTGTGTTAAATATTTCCAGGGAAAATATTTCAGAGCCACAAGTTGATGCAAGAACACATTAAAGCTATCAGTTGAATATGTGTTAGAAACAGTCTGTCACGTCATGAAAAAAATCCGTTGCTGGCACTGCAAATGTCCATTTGCTCTTTTAATGTAAGAATCTTCCACACAGTAAATTTTTATTCCATTGAGTGTATTATCCACTTAGCAATATAAAAATATTAATTTTTTTAATGCCTAGGATTTTTTGCATTTAACTTTAATGCCACATAAGAAGCATATTTTGAGCTGTAAACAATTTTTTCCTTGCATATTAGAAAATGAAAAGGAAAAAAGGAGGAGTCTCCAGGCTGACATGAAGTGATAGATGCATATACTACCCGAAAAATGTAAACTATAAAGCAATAATAAGCTATGGCCTTGCAGAAGACTGTACACATTGGTGTTTTGCTTTTAAACAAAGCCTTTTAGTAATTTATCTACCTTTGACGGAAAAGACAGCTTAAGAAAAAAACAATTCATATTACATTTTTTTTCATCACTATGAGAGCAAGGAACTAAAAGAGAGGAATGTAGTAACAACTCAGACTAAAAGGAACAGATTCAGCATTATCTTCTCAAGCTATACCAAACAACTTTCCTCTTCTTTGCAACATGTGCATATTTTCAAGCACCGTGATTACCATGGACTATTAATTATTACAGTCCATCTTAGCTGATTGTAACTCTTGCCCCATGCAATTTATTATCCAATTCACGGAATCAAAAAGAAATATTCACAAAGCCTTTCATTCAATCAGACTGGATCCACTCACACTTCTAAACTGTTGCACGATATGTAAATTACAATTTTACATATTAATTTTCCTGTTCTGTCAAAACCAACAGAATTATATGAGCATGTATTATCTTAATTTCATTTTAGACACCTGTACATGTTATGTGATTGTTTTCCTTTGTTGGGTGTGGTGTTTTCTCTTTTGTCCACTCCCCATGCGAGAATTGCAGGCACAATGTTATTGTGTTATTTTAATAAAATGATGTGTACCATCTATATATGTACTATGGGCTGTGCGTTTGCCTTAACAAAAACAAGGCCAAAGAGGTGTGATCTAACTTTGGGAAATAAAAGTGTTGAGAACTGTGGCAACTCTTAATTCCTGTGGGAATCTGTTCTTGAGTGTTCTTTCCAGTCTTGAGGAAGCTGTTTTCTTCATTGATATTTTAACCTTGTGATGGAAACATCTAGCATGCCTTTAAAAAACAGGTTTATTAGCCATAGGCTTCCTCCTGCAGGTGTAGAAAACTATTTAGGTACCCGAGCACCTTGATAATTCATTAGAAACCATGTTAATATTTTCAGTCATTTTGGTATGTCTGTGGTATCTTTTGTAGCTGAAAAGACTCGTTGTGAGACCTGACATACAGAAAACTGAGATTTTTTTTTTTTGGTTGTTTTTGTTTTTAACAATTACCTCTAAATTTATGTTAGATATTTTCATCTGGTATTTCTTTGATTCCTCATTTGATAGTTACATGCTATTAAAATAAATTATTTTCCTCTCTATTTTGACAAGAATAGTCTCTATCACCAGTGCAGAAAAGACCCTGGTAAATGACAAAAAAAAGTCAATCTAGATGTGTGAACATAAAAATATTTTAAAACGTTCTTTTAACATGGTGGATTTATACAAATTATTTATACACAAACATAGCTAATCACCCTGTACCCCTTTGACAAACCTTGAAACTCTGGAGATGACAATCCATCTGATTAAAAACAATTTGTTCTCATATTATAACAGCAGCTTACTGACGTAATGAGGATTAGTCTTACATTTTGTTAGACTTCAGGGTAAAAAGATAGTCCTTGCCCCATAAAGCCTGTAGCGTTTTTAAGACAAGCATAAATGATGTAGGCCTAATGATCATAAGAAACTGGAAAGCGATTGTTGATAAAGTGTAACAAACTGCACAACTGGATTGTTTTTAATCAGTTATGTGCACTGGTAAATTTGAAGAAACAGACAGATTTCAGAAGTCCACACATGTAAACCATCTACCCAACATCCCTACCTAGGCAGTTTCTTGCAATGTTATGAAAAGAAAACATTTTTTTTTTTTAAATCTGAAGTAATATGCGTTAAGGTTCCAGAAAAAAAATTTCCTGTGTCCAGGAGCGGTAGTGTCCACCCCTGAAGACTGAGCGGCTCCCTTCAGCAAGTGGCAGGAAGTGCCATAGCCTTTGCCATGATTAACCTTATGGAGCATAGTCAATAACGTGTGCTTCCTGAATTAATAATGTAATATCAAACTCATAAGAAAAAGCATCATGGTCTGAATTTAGCTACATTTTAACAGATGCTAAGAGCATGAGAAGAACATTCCATAAGCCACCTGTAAGCAGAAAATAAGAAAACCAATAAGAAGAGCTAGGCTTTGCCACTTAAAGAGAGCTAAATGAAATAAATTGACATTTCTTGTTCATTTCCATGACACTTAGAATACACCCTATAGCACCTGAAGGAAAAAAAACTAAATATTTTCAATAAGCCTCTTAAAAGCACTGTTTTATCAGAAAGCAATACATGATTTGTTGTGCAATTTTCATGTCAGCTGAAATATAAAGAACATATAGAGAAAATAAGTGAGATACTGTAAAGTTATGAGCAAATACTTATTTTCATTTGCTTATAGATCTAAAGCAAATACAAGTGTATCTCTTCTTAAATTTTAACCACAATTACTCTCCACCAAACCACTTTTGAGACAATATTAATGCATTACAGAGAAAATCTTCTCAAAGCCTCACTATTGAGACTAGTTGACAAAAGCTAGAGATGTTTTTTTAAAACTAAAGTACCTTTTGTGTTGGCTTCCTGCTAGTATGGTATGCTGTATAGTCCTTGTTTAATAGAAGCATTCAAATTTAATGTTATTTTTCAAAAACAAAAATGTTGTTCACTTAGTTACCACCCTCACGAGCTCATCTGAGGTACCAAAGAACTGATCTGCTGAAAACAATAACTAACTAAAGATGATGAGCTGCAGGTTCATCACCAAGAAAGCTGAACATCAAGCTGAATACCAAGAAAATGCATTTCTGAAATGAATATAAATACCCTCCTATGGATACTAAATCCAACATATAACTTAATAACTCAATATACTTCAGGGGTAGCAACAAGCCTCAAGGCAACAAAATTACTCCAGGCATTGAAAATTATATTATTCTCATAATAAAAATTCTACTTTTTAACAGCAAATGTGGTAGGAATCATTATTCATAACTGATTCCCCTCAAAGGAAACAGGGCTAAGTACTAATGTCCCACTGAGCTGGCATTCCGTTCCCTGAATAATGCTCTTTTCGATGCTGGGGGAAAAACTGTGCTCAGCCCCCACAGCAATATCATAAGCTATCAGTGCTAACCAGTCATTAATGCAAGATCAAGAACGAGATAAAGAGAACAGAGTGTATTTTTTGTAAGAAATGAAAAACACATTTAATCCCGAGAGCTTGTTTTCATTTAGTAGTTCTGTTCTTTTCCCAGGTATTTATGTTTCATTTTAAAGAATACATTTCTTACTTCATTAGAGAAGGCAAGCCTTGAAGCTCAGTGTAAAGTAAATAAACCATGCATAATAATAATAATAATAAAGAATTGCCAGAGTCTTCATCCTATTTATGAGGTCACTTAAGTTCAAAAGACACCTGCTGCAAATGCCTTTGATTAAAAAAAAAAAAAATGTAATCAGCAAGGGTGTCATTCATCCTCACTAATGTCCATATGTCCATACCTAAAAAAACCATTAAACAACAAACAACTGGACCAGAAGGTCATCACCAAGTTCAAATTTTCATTTTACTTTGAAACTGATTGATGTAAGTTTTAGAAAGAAAGAATTAAACATCATGGTACTCCAGAGGCAGTTGCTGCTGAAAAGGAGTAGTTCACCCTCCATGGGTCTATTCATTCCATGGCATCCCTAGCAAGTGCTAGCATGAATACCAAGCATGACAGTGATTTCTGTGACAGAAGTTTCAGCCCTCTTGGAACTAGAACAAAACTATCAGTCTGGCTAAGAGAGGACAAAGAGCCACCTGATAGTAAGTTACTAGTCTAGTTAACAAATGAATCAGCAGCCCCCTGGTGAAAATCTAGGAAAGGTTTCTGTAGCATCTACCTGATGCCTAGTATTGCTGATACCTCCTGCTGTAGTTGAAGGGACTCTCTTACAGCTGCTTACACAATCTACCTAACTGTGACAATAAAGAATTTGTCTTATTGAGACTTCACAAGCTAAACAATAACTAAAAGAAGCAATACTTCCAACAATATCCCAAATGCATTTACTGCACTTTTTCATATGTCAGACTGGACTATGTCATCTTAAAAAAGGGAAAGGAGAGTAAAGAAAAAGATGTATTAAACTATAAGCAGTACAATAAAAATAACACCCCAAAAGAGCTTGTGTTTTAATATATTTTGATATTGGCTCATTTTCATTTTTAAGGGACATCAAAAAACCTGGCAGAAGAAACAGTGAAGAATATTCTATGATACATTAGTGTCTTAATCCATTTGTTTTGTCTGGCTTCTGTGTTGTAACACATTGTAGGAGCTGGAAAAAAAATATACAACTCTTATAAAAGTAATATTTACCCAAGAGAAAAATATTGCTCTTGTTCTGGTTCACCTACTTCCATTTTTATGTTGTAGTTCTGGCCAAGAACACTCTCCAGGAGTTCTTTGATCGTCTGGTCTGAGGGAGATGGAGAAGTAGACTGCAGGGAAGCAATTATTTCATCAATAGACCTTGCAACCACTTTCACAGGCAATGCTGGTGTGGAAGTAGGCTCTTCAGGTTTGCTCTGCTGGAAGTTCTTCTCGTATATTTTTGAAGTGTCTGGTCTAGTCACATCTCTTGCCTCTTCCAACTGTTCTCGAGCAGACCTCACACTTGGCTGCTTGCTTCCTTTTCTCAGCACTCTTCCCGATTCAACACCTAAATCTTGTTGCTTTGCTTTCGAAATCACTCTGCTTCTCTTCTTACAGCTTTCCCTGCTTATTTTTCCCTTTCTTGAAATGTTTTTAATTGTATCAGAATCTGTAGAGCTAAATTCATCGCTATCTTTAATCACAGTATCTATTTCTTCAGTTTTATCTCTTTTTAAATTCTGGGGATCCATCTGTAGCATACGCACTCTATCCTTTACTTTACTAACAGCTTTTGTCTTTTCTAATGGGATAGGGGAGCTATTAACATGAAAATTAGACCTGCAATAACTTGGCTTCTGAGGTGGTGCTGAGTGCTTGACCATTACAATTTTTTTAGTGGTACCTGCAAATGATGCTATTACTGGCAGTTTTACAACTTTACTTTTATGACTACAAGTGGCATTCTCTCTGTTAACTTTTTCAGAGCAACTTCTCTGATTTTTGTCAGCACCATCTTCTTCCACAGATTTATTTCTTTGAGTCATCACCCTGAGATCAGGAGTTTGTTTCTTCATGTCTCTTACTTCAGAAAATATCCTTACTTTCTGTGAACATCAGAACACCCGATGAATTAATTAGGAATATTTTTATTTATATTCATGACAGGCTTACGTGGACTCTTTGACCTCTGGAGAGGATAATGTTCTTAACTGATGCGATTGATCTGGTGTTAAATCTTCCAATAAGGGCTAAATGCTCACATTTCTAGGAGCAGTAACTATTACTTGTTTGATCTTCAGACTATCCCACTGAGATTCCCTGCATATAGTCTCATGCTCCTTTATCATATTCGGCTCTTCCACATAACTCGGTACAAAGTGCTCATGTTTTCTAGCAATTTTCTCCTACTGTATGCAGCCTGTAAATTCAAACAGAAATGAGGTTTTTTTAATTTTATATACCAGCACAGAACCCAGTCTTGCACAGACTACTTCATTTTGATAAGGGCCCAATTGATTTTAACAAGACTGTTCTGAACACATGTAACTAAGCACCAGCAATGGCTATTAGCATTTTACCAGAGTAAAACAACTGAACCATTCCTATCTTTGAGAGCCTAAATTGGGAGTTGGACAGAACTCCCAAGAGAGAAAAAAAATGAGAAAGGTTAAAGCTCAACGCTTTCTCGAAGTAACCACAAAAAGCTTTCCACCTACAAAAACCAGGGACGCCTCCAAGCCCCACTTCTCCCTCTCGAGCAGGCAAAGAGCCTCCCTCCCCTCAGGAAAGTACCTCACAGCCTGACAGCCCCAGCGCCCACAG